TCGGTATTAATTGCAATCCTCCAAAGAATGAACCAATTTTCTAGCTGATTGAGGTAATATTGAAAAAGGAGCTGGACGACAGTAACAGTAGAAGTGTGGGTCATAATTGCAGTATCATCAGTGAAAGCAATGGTAATTTGTGGGTCTTTAGGAATATCGTAAATGTAAATGTTATATAAATATGGAGAAAGTACAAATCCTTACGGCATTCCAGAGAAAATTTTTCTCGTGGAAGAAACAGAACTGCCAATTTTCACAGCAAAGTTTCTGTCTTGAAGATAGGAAGCAATAAGTCTAATACAATGATCGGTGAAGTTTAATTTGATAAGTTTGTATATAAGCCTCGGTGCCATACCCTATCAAAAGCTTTCGCAATATCAAGGAAAATAGCTCCGGTAGGGAACTTACAATTGAAACCGTCAGTAATAGAGTTGATGACACGAAGCAGCTGGTGATTAGTCACCGTCAGTAATAGAGTTGATGACACGAAGCAGCTGGTGATTAGTACTGTGAAGATGATGGAAGCCAAACTGTTCTTCTGGAATGAAGGAAATCTGTGGAATAATTTGATTAAGATGATATAGAATAACTTTTTCAGCTATTTTAGAAAGTTGACTGAGAAGGCTGATTGGGCGGTAGTTTTGGGGAAACGTTGAATTTTGATGCGGTTTTGGGAAGACGACGATGATGGCATGTTTCCATATATTAGGAAAGTAAGAGAATTTGATGATAGAGTTGATTATCTTAGTGAGACAAGTGATGGCATTGATAGGAAGATGTTTCAGCTCTTTGGTAGAAATACCATCAATACCTGGAGTTTTTTTGGGATTTAAGGAACTATATAATCGGCAACCAGCTTAGGCGTGGCAAAGAATGTAAAGTTCAAAGGACCTGGAATTTTTAAGAAGGTATTAACAGTATCATTAACTTTGGAGATATGATTGTTGTCGTAGGGGGTAGTATTGGGATTAAACATTTTAGTAATATCTGCAAATGTGTTAGCTTTATCTTCGTCTGAATAAATCATTCCGTTGGTATCATTAAGTGGCGGAATTTGCTTGAAGGGTTTCTTAAATTTCAATCTTAAAAAGAGAACTACCACTACTCTTAAAAAGAGAACTACCACTACTTGCAATCTTAAAAAGAGAACTACCTTCAGTTGCGAGAGAGTTGAGGAAGTTTCGCCAGCGTTGCATCTTGAAGTTACTAATGCCCTTTTTTATGTCACGTTGAAGAGCGTTAAGTTGCGTTTCGAGCCTTGGGTCTTTTGTATTTTGCCAGTTTTTCCTAATACGATTTTTGCATTTGATTTTTTGTCTTATGCTGGCTGGAAGAAGAAGAAAAGGATGGTAACTGATGAATTTATTGGTTGAAAAATTGATAGCATGTTGAATAGAGGTGGTGAACTTCTTGATTTCGGACTCAATATCGTCTTCATTGATAATTTTGGGATTTCCAGGAATGGTATCTGAAATGATTTTTGAGAATTTTTTCCAGTCTGTAACGCCAATACTCCTGCCCAGTGAAGGCAAGTAACTATTTATGCTGATTTCAAGAAGAATGGGATTATGGTCAGATGAGATAGCTGGAATAACAGAAATTTGGCAATTATAGACGAGGTTGTAAGAAAAAAGTCAATAATAGAAGAACTATTATAGCCGTAATGCGCAGGTTCATCAGAGGCATGAATGGTATAATTTTTATTTTGAATCATGCTAAAAATTTCTCGTCCTTTTCTATTTCTAGCTCCTTGATTCCAGCATTTACGCTTAGCGTTAAAAACACCTCCAATTAAAGCAGCAGAGTTAAAAAAATCCAGTAGCTGTTCAATTTCAGAAATGATTGGATTATTGTTGAGGTATATAGATATTAGAGATAATGAATTTTCTTGTGCTCAATTTGAATTTCGATAGTATTGCTTTCAAAAGAGGTAGAAAATTTTTGTAAGACTTGATGTTGAATGCTCTTTTTAACAAAAGTTATAATTCCACCTCCGCGTCCGGTTTCTCGATCCGTACGGTAAATAGAATAATTTGCGTAAAGCACTTTTAGCGTAGGTTTCAAATGCGTTTCCTGTATAAAAATTGCATCAGGTTCCAGTTCCAGAAGAAAATCGCCAAATTCATCTTTTTTTTTTTTTTTTTTTTTTTTTTTTTTTTTTGTTAAGAAGACCATTAGCATTCCATGAAATAATTTTGATGTTTCTCAGATTAATACTGCGTGACATGTTAAAGACAATTACTAATTTTGTCAAGAATGTCCACAATTGCACTTCTTTTGTCTATAGGCAAAGTTTGCTTCTTCATAGTTTTGAGACCTTCTATAATAATAGTCCATATTGTTTTTAATGAACCCAAATTAAATAATTCTGAAAAAGTGGAGCTTGTGGTTGGAGTTTCAGATAAGTTGGAGTTCTTATTATTTTCAGGCTTCGGAGAATCTATTTCTTCGTTGAGAGGTGGAAAGTTGTTGTCTTGTACATTCCGAGGATTTTTGGTTGGTGGATTGCGGGGTGTGAACTTCTGCTTGGTTTGTTGCGGTCAGGCTGGACATTTGGTGAAGTTAGCTGGATGTGGACTACCACAATTAGGTTTATGTGAATTACTGCCTTAGCGATCCAATTTTTACTACTGAAAAGTGGTTACCTAGTAATCAGAAAAGACAAATAAATTTACAGCATGCTTTGTTAAGGATGTATTTCGAACCTTACCGAAAGACATTACGAATACGTCTAGCTGAAACAGAGAAGTTTGTTTCGTATCTAATGAATCGATTAAGTGATTTTTTAAGCGTATGATCTCAGTATGTCTGTTTTCTCAATAACTGTATATGACAAGCTAAGTTATTTCTTTTTTTGCCAGAATCAAAGTAAGTTTATTTTACAATAATTTTCACATTTCAGTTTCCAGCTGCCACATGTTTCTTTTATTTCAAATGAGTGAGTATGGATCAAGAATGAAAAAAAATTTTAATTCTTGTTGCACGTTTTTAAATTTTGCATTTTTATCATTCGAATAAAAAGTTTTAAATTATAGTACCCCTACAAAAATTAGTCAATAATTATATTCAAAAGGAATTATATATATACAATATATATATTCTGTTTGAAAAGAAAGTACAATATACGATAGGCGAGTTAATTTATACACTGTTTTCCCCAAACGCACTTATCGGACCTTTATTATCGCAACCGTTAGTCATAAACTTCCCGTTGAAAAAAAAATAATAATAATTGACAATAATCCTTATTTAGCGTTTTAAGATTAAATAAAAGTCAGTTTTGGGAAAATTATAGAAACTAACATTTTATACAATTCCTTGGTCGCTTTTTCACGTATTTAGGAAAATTTTATGCTCAAAAATGAAATAGAAAATATGTGACCGGTGTGCAAATTAATTTAGTTTAAATTAAAATTAATTTAGTTCTTCACTTTAAAGTTGGAGATCATAATCAGGGGCTATATACAAACTGAAAAACGAAATGTTTGCAAGTGTAGGTAACTACAAATGAGATATTCGTTAAGAAAATTGTTTCTGATGTCTGTATAGACAAGCGACGAGCATTATTATGCAGAAGGTCACGAAAAGTATTGATCAGAATCTTATGCAATTCGAGTTCTGGAAAACACTGCCTTCAATATTGACTTGCAGACACTATTTGCATAAATTAAAAGTAAAAAATAATTCTAATTTAATGAACTTTTTGTTTGGTTATTATGATTCTAAAGTAACAACTTTTCATGAAAATATTAATAACGCTTTAATCGCATTTGAAAATTTATGATTTATTTGCCCGAAAATTCTTTCAATATACCACTTCTAACAAAATTATAAATTAAAGAATGTCACATACTAGTAAATCAGAAACGAATATATATAAATGGCACTTCAGTTGAAAAATTAAATATCGCATTATTCTGATTTATTTATTAGAATTATTCTAAGCTATTGCGAAAACTCATAGCATATTCTTTATTTATTATTTCGAATTATTTGAATTTATTATAAAAATATTAATAACTTTTTATCGCGTTTGAAAATTTATGAATTATTTGTGCGAAACTTCTTTCGGCATACCACTTGCAACGAAATTATAAATTAAAGAATGTCACATGCTATTAAATCACAAAAGAATATGACTGAATGGCATTTCAGTTGAAAAATTAAATCTCTAATTATTCTAATTTATTTATTAACAGACCACTTAAGGTAAATTGAAAATGAGGTCAGCTGTCTAAAATTTCGAAATAAAATATCTCGGTTAATTTCTAACATCCAGGTGTCAATTTATGTTTTTATTTTTTATTTATTAGTATAAAAGTTTCCTAAATATGAATACCGAGGAACAGCATAGAAAGACAGATTTCGTAGTTTCTATAAAATTATCTTTTTAAAAATGCCAAAACTTGTGTCGATTAAAACATTTTTGTAATTGAAAGTATCTGTTTACAACTGACAACAACTGTACTACTGATGGTTCGGAAAATAAAGGCCGGCTAAGGACATTTGTGGATACAATGCTTTTCGTATGAACATATTACCTTTCCTGAATACAAAGTAAGAACAATAAAATTATCTAATTATCCTTAAAAATAACCATATTAATTTTGAAATGTGAAATTTTTGCTAGTGCATTTGAAATTTTACTTCCTATTAAAAATTCCTCTACGACTTTTAAGATAATGTAAATATGTATTTGCGGCCCTTTTTAAAAATCTAGTTGTGGCTCTTGCAATTTCGAATTCTGATGTGTGGCCACTCCTGATTTGGCCACTCCTGGTACAGAGTAGATCTGATGGATAAGCACCTAGGGAATGATAGCACTACTACTGGCAATGCTCGCTTGCAGTCATTCAACGCCGTTTAAAGAAACACCGTCTTCGATAACAAAGTCTTCCAGACGTTGTTGATCCAGAAAATCTTTAGCATGACCTTGGAAGTGTTACCCCTAGCTATGTATCCCATCCAATTTACTTTCAAAGAGCTGTTACATTCCTTTTTACAGGAACGGAAAGGGTTGTCTTCTGGTAAGCTTGATCATTTAATTAAATATATAGAACATTGCTGCAAAGCTTATGCAAAGACCCAGAGATGGTTCCAACAGATATTAAGGTAAGTTTTCTTTATTTGCATAATTTACAAAACATTTTTGGTGTAGAAAGTGATGTATACATATAAACTATTAAAATTATAACTAAATATGTTTCGTTTACTATAGTTTTTAGTCGTAAATGTACAACAAAATTACCTTCGTGTGAAGGCGTAAGTTTACCTTACCCGAACAAGGGTACCTTGAATTCTGAAGTTTTTTATTGCCTATTTCATATTTTGTACAAATTTTATTAATTTTTATTAACAAACTCTGTGATTAGAAAGATGCAGGATGCCATCGACGAAGAATGGGAAAACCGCCATACCCGATACGGGGATCTTAGTAACTATGATTTCTTCACTTAAACGAAAGGGCTACTGACAGGGATGTATTACAGTAAGTGAGAAGGTTGGTTATCTGTACTTTAGTGCTCTCGCTGTGGAGCACCAACAGAAGAGGACCCGTTGACTTCCAGCATTCCTAGGACAACCTAAAGCACTTTCCTAGCCTTTCTACTGATTCAAAGGATTTCGAAGGACAACTTTAATTTTAATGACCATTAAATACTGTGATGTCTTTAAATTTCTCAATCTAAGCATCACCTGAAATGACATCTAAAGTGTCTTTTCTCATCGAACTGAAAAGTCATGGCTTTTCAGGCGAATCTTTATTAAACGAAAGACGGCTCACTCAAGCCATAGGTTTGCACACTTAAAGTACATCCGTACCCGTAAGTGTCTTTACATACCTTCGAATAAATCTTTTTTCACAGCAATGGCCAATTTTATATCAGCCAACTGCGTACAATATACATTATGCATTTTCTTGTGTATTATCTTCATTTTGACAAAGCAAGCCACCAGCTCCATTAATAAAAAATGAAAACAATAATTTTTGAGTTAGGCTTGCTTTTACTGCATATCTTATTTAAAATAATGCCTGTTTTATGCGTTTCTTCCTTAAATTTTGGCACAACGATTTGCAAAGTTACATAGTTTTGTGGGCCCACCAGCGGCCGAGCGGTAAAGTCGCTGAAAAATGGTAGTTCGGTCCGAGGTTCGAATCCCGCGAACGGGCTGGCTGCACGGGCGTTTTCGTGGTTTTCCCCATGTGTAACATGTATACGAGCCAGTTTCCCTTAGTCCTCCACGAAGGCATCCCTCCCCTTAGGCAGATAGCCCTCGAGGCTTTGCCATAATCACACACACACAATACATAGTTTTGTTTTCATACTCCAAAAGCAAGCAAAATATTAAAAAAGCGTTAACTTCTTCCATAATTATACACTGGTTTCCGAATGTTAAACACGCAATATTAAAATTTAAAAAAATGGAAAAGTAAAGTTTGATTAGCATCAGATTTCACATGAAGGTAACAGATGCATTTATGAATGAATGAGAAAATGCATTATGTACGAAGATGAAAGCAATATTTAATTTTCGTTCATTACATGTTGATGTCCAGGTTCGGTCAGTAACAAATTGATGTTTAAAGCTAAAAACAAACAAATAAAAGCTTACTTTAAAAATTCATATGACCAAGCCGAATTTTCACATAAGCTTTATAGCGATTGCCATTCGTTCTGTAAACTGATCAACCCTATTCCTCCTCAAAAGAGTTTCCAACTGTCTGAGACAAACTGAAGGAGGTGAAGTGCAAAAACAGCACGTCAAAAGACATTCTAAAGATTTTCAGTGGAATCACGGTCAAGAGAATACAGCGGCCTCTCCATACGAGAAATGCCGTCACTCTCCAAATACTCGTTAACGATCTTGGCTCGATGGAACCGATGGATAAAAGTACTCATTTCGATTTATCATTCATAAGAAGGAAATCAGGACCATCTGCTGCAGTGCACAATCTCACAATGGGATGTAGAACTTTATCTCAATACCGCTTAGCCGTCACAGAACCTTCACTAAAGATGCTCAGCTGGGTACGATTTATCATTGAAATTCTAGCCCATGCCCTTATTCTTCCACGTCTAAATGGTAATATTTGATGATGGATTTGACTTTATTCAGTGTGCCTCGCTTTCCTAGGACTATTGTACGCGTATCATTAAATGCCATGAACAAATTCAGACTCTTTTTGAATAGCACATTGCTCTTACCTAAGGCAATGCAACTGAGATGTTGAAGATACCACTTTAATCTTACTTCTCTAGGTTGGGCAGTTAGTGAAAACACAAACAGTTAATACTGGGGCTTAAGACCCTTCATGCGAAGATATTTCGGCGCACAGTCTTACAAAGTGACGCTGCAGCCTTGGATGTAACAGTTGTACAGGTCGCTCGTCAATTGCAGTTAACTACTTAAGCAATGCACCGATTTGGCAGAATGGGTGGCAGCCCTTAGTCGACCGGACTTAGGTCTTAGGACAACTGTTGGACTTATTGAAAGTAGTTTCCACATTCGAAAAATTACCAAATTTTCAGTGCCAAAGAAAAGATCGGCATCTTTGATTGGCTGCCTTGTTTGAACGCGTCCGATAGCACTCTAGTAATTACTATCTGCCATTTGTCTTCTTTTAGGCTTAGAAACACGAATATCATCAAACATTATCCTACGAAAGTCGTAAAAGCTTAGTATCAATTTTTTTCAATGAACCTCCTCAAACTCTTCAGAATTTTTAACAGCTGTTATTTAACACATGTTCGACAGTCAAAAGTGATTGCCTATAACATACAACATTTGCACACTGCCATCTACATTTTTAACGATTTTAGAAACTCAAATTCAGCTAAGCTTTTGAAACTTGCTAATTTGCATTGCGTACTTAACTTTTGGAAGCCAGGGTATCTACTAATCAAAAACAGCTAAGATATCACAAGTAGAATTATAGAACAGCTTTTCGTTCTTTTATTACAGAAATTAAATGTCTGAGGGTAAAGTACTCAATTCTGATTGATTAACGCAGTTTACAGAAATCTTGCAATGAATGATACTACTACTACACGCTGCTCAGTAGGCTCCCGACTAGGGTACCACACGGGATTTTCACCTACTTCATCGGAGTTGAATTACTTCAGGCCACGCCCCAGCCGAGGGCTGAGATGAGAGTGCAGACAGCATTATTGTGCTTTTAAAGAAAAAAATAATAATATGGACAAACAAGGCTCTTGAAGAATATACAGATTTCAGCGAAGAGACACTTACGAAGTTGTTCTACTAATCAACAGCGTAATTCCGGGAATGATTCCAATAGTGAAATAACATGAGCATATAAGGCTCTTGAAGAGAGTACGTGTTTTCAATATCGAGACATAATTATGGTGTTGTTTTACGATTAATCAGAGTATAGTATTACAAAAGGTGAAGGCACACTAATGTAGACAATGATGCTACTAGGCAATAATGCAATTTAATGTGAATAATATGATGTTAACATTCATTTATAAAGCATATGTTCAAATCATTTAAAGACTACGTATCACTTCAAAGTGTACATTTACATTTTTAGGCATATATTACAATCGTTAATCCTTACAGGTATATATTTAAAATTTCTGTACAGAATGGGTGGGTATAATAGTACTGCTTTTACTAAAATTACAAAAAACTGCTGGGCTGCAAAATGGATAAGAGCTATGAAGTGCAATGGAGTGGCTATCTTACAATTGGACAGATGAGGAGCTAATGCCATAACAGTCATATGGGCTGTTGTACAGTAGCTCATGACATGTTCAAGTTTGTTGAGTGCTAATCTATTTTCTAAAACACTAGTTGTCCATACCGACCAGTCCTCATGTGAAGGCTTGCGTAAATGGAATCCCGCGGTATTCCTACATTCCAATGCAAAGTGGTCTTGATCACCTTCACCACCACGATAGTATGTAAACACATGTCATTCAAATTTTGGCTATTTACACGTATCAGGAAATAACTGAGCATTAGATGTGATGTATCGTAATGTTTGGCCAACGTAAACAAAAACATTATTACTCGTACAGAAAGATTAACGAACATCTAAAATATATTCAAATGTTTCGAATCTTGAATGGTATAAAGACATAGAATACAGAATGCATAGGAATATGTGGAAAATATTTCTAAGGCAGAGGCTTTGTCATATAAAGTTGCAAAATGCATCCCTGAAGAAAAAGGGATATTTATCTCATCGCCCCCCTCCCAAATCTATAGATTTTGATAATAAAAAGTCTACGCGAACCTAAGGTTGTCCAATTTAAAAAAAAAATGTTTATCCAATATTTTAGTATTTTGAAATAATAATTTATTTTAAACTTTGTAACTTATAGTTTTAATTTGAAAGCAATTTTAATCTAAAGTATTTAATTTTACATTAAAATACTAATTTGAGATCAAATTAATATATAACGTTTTTTTCTTTTACAGGCAGAAGATGAAGAAACCGTTCATACAAGTATAAGAGCTGCAATCTATTCTGGTTACACACACATAGACACAGGTTTCCAGTATCAACAAAAAAAATTCATTGGCGATGCAATAAGTGCCCTTCTTAAAGAAGGAGAGATCGGAAGATTTGAATTATTTATTACCACAATGGTAAATTACTAATTTAGTTTGATGCAAATATCATTTTCCCTGCGGAGAAAGAAAAAATATTCTTTACTAAATATAAATCTTATGCTATCAGTCAATATTAAGTTTTTTGTTTTGTCTTATATGGAAATTTATCTGAAGCTTTATAGGATGACACTTGATATAGTAATGCTATTTTAGTTCTATAACTCTAACAGACATAAAGCGGATATCGCTATGTCTGAGAACAACACCAAAGTCTCGAGAGGGTTAAAATAATCTTTTATTTTGAGCAGAAATAAGATCATAGGTGCTTGAATTAAGAATTAGGAATTCTTGTGCTACAATGACCACAACTCGTAATGATGAAAAATACATAGAACAATTCAATTTAACGTGAACCTTGAACAGTAGTTAAAAACTGCTCCATTAAATACTACTAGATGCTACCTCAATAACTTACCGGAGTATCAGAATTAAACTGTCAGCAGTGAAAAACTCAAAGCCGAATAATTACAGCTATTAAAGCTGGCGGAAAACTAAGCACCAAGCCCACACGCGATACCATAAACACTCTATGTCTCAAAATCCAAAAACCTCAGTTTAAATATCCACTACGAATTTGCATTCTGATGACAAACACAGACAGGACAAATTGTAATAAAGCCTGAAATTATAAATAAGTAGTTAATTGACATAAAATTCCCTGATTAATTTTTCTAACATAAGATTATCCAATGAAATCATAAATAATTGGTTAATTAACATAAGATTATCCAATGAAATCATAACTGGTTAATTAACATAAGATTCTGTGTAGCCTAATTTAGAATATTTTACTAAACTTTTCACTACAGTACTTATAATTATAAAATTTCTTTTATGATACCACTGTCAAGTTAAATTTTCGTTAAAATAGTTCTTGAGAAATGAAAACAAAATAATGTGTGAAAATAAAATAATATTCAGTTTAGTAATTGATAACTGAATTTGAGGTAAAGTATTTTGAACGAGGCTAATGTTAATTGTTCCTAGAAGCTATAATTACAGTACCGTATAGCATGAACTTCTCAAAATCTCTGGCTCTTCTCTTCCTTCTTAACAACCTTAAGAATTTCAAACAATTAACATTTAACGTAAAAATGTATTAAAACGAGTGTGGTGGCACACCGGCAAGTTCGCCTCCGTCGGCACCTCCTTCGATACGGTCCGAAATACACCTGTGAACGACAGCATCCAATACAGAAGTTCTTCGTAGTTCGCTTGCTTTGCAGCCCTAAGCGACAATACATATATATACAATAGTTATATAACATTGTTAAAAATAACTGTTAAAAATACTATAATACAATAGTTATATAACATTGTTAAAAATAACTCTCCAAGTGTTTTTTTTTTCCAATAATAGCAGCAGAAAATGTGCTCTTATTGTGTTTTTCCGTCCGTTCTTCTCCGAATCTCCTTAAAATATAAAACTAAGTTTATGACCTAGTTTTACTTATATATATTCAAAACTCTAAATGAATTTTAGTCTTTTATTGTTACATCTTAATTTCGGAGGTCTAATTGATTTTCTACCTCGGGGAAAAACATCCCTTAAGTTTTCTCAGGTTTAAATTGAATTTTTTCTATGTGCTTCAGTTTCTCAGCAATTCTTCTGAATCCCTAGGCACTTCTTCCAGTCCTTCCAATGATCTCTCATTTAAAATTTAAAAACCAAATCATCAGCATAGCGCACAAAATCAATATTATCTAATTTAATGCTTTTAATTAATTTATTGGCAATGTAGTATATTTTATTATTTTCTAATGGCTGGTCACAAGACAAGATGTTGAGGCAAACCTAAAACAATGCTTATTTTTCTATCATACATATGCAAATATGACATTATTTGAACCTCTTTAATATACGTATTACCGGTGGCGTTTGTGCCCATGCCATTAATTGCAGTTGAAAGAGATAAGGCCTTACTGCACTTTTCATTTTGGATCACTTCAGAGAACGTAATAAAAACCACAGTACTAAATGATCAAACTTCAGCCTTCTTACTTGAATAATAAAATATGATGGTATAAATGCATGTAAACAGAGAACGAGTATATGATAAGAAGCAGAATATGTTTCCTGATCTATGCCAATGGTTAAGCTCTATGGTTCAACCTAACATTTGCAGCTATAAAACCTAAGTCCATAATGTTAGGAAGCATCCCGAAAAACAGTATCTGAGATTTTCTCTTTTCTCGCACCTCGTAACGGCAGATTTATGCTTCCCTATGCAGAGTGCAGATATTTCTCATAAGCATCAAAGACCAGGCCTAGCAGTGTGGTACTTGCCTAATTAAGCCTAGCGAAAAGCTTATAATGGAAAGATTAGTTACAATCTAGTGGGACCATGCAGTGTTTATTACGATACAGATAACGGAATCAGTTCAAAGATTATTTGCTTTGATTAATAAGGATAATAAAATCGGTACTATTCCGCTTTGAGGACCGTAAAAAAATTGCAGCGAAAATGTATGCGCAAAAGCGTCTAGGAAACACGCCCATTTAACAGCGCGCCAAATCTAGCGAACGCGTTGATTTCAGATTGCGTAAGTTTATATAGTTCTATACTTCTTAATACGCCATTGAAATACTAATTTCATTTTTAAATCCTTTTTTGATATGCTATGGATTTAACAATTTGGGAATTGCCTCATGACGAAAAGTCTGGAATAGGATGTTAGGTAAAGTGCAGAATCACCCACTGCTTGACGCGTTTTTAAGAATTGCACATACTCGGTATCCATGTGCACATCGACCTATTTTCACCTTAAAAAAAATCCCAGAATTGCACAAAATGGCACTTAACACACCATTGACTTTATCTATGTATACATCGACCTATTTTCACTTAAAAAGTAAAAGAAAATTGACAAAATCCAATTGTTTTCACCCTTGTAAAAAGCGGCAAACAAATAAGTGGGCAATTCTGCACTTTACGGAGAATTCTTTCAAAGAAAAAGCTTCATTCATTATAGAAAATTATGTTTGAACAACCAACGAGATGAAATTATGCTTTAGCGATAACTCGGTAGCGAAATAGCGATGCAGGCATCCACTCAGTTATGTTTAGCAATTTTATATAAATTATAATAATGATTTGAAATAGTTATTTACTCTTATGCTTTCAATCAGTCATGTTAAGCCTTTTTTATATAAATTATAATAATAAAAAAGTATTATATTAAAATAATAAAAAATATAATAATAAATATAAATTATAATAATATATAATATAATAATTAATAAAAAAGTATTATATTAAATAATAAAAAATATAATAATAAATATAAATTATAATAATAAAAAAGTATTTTTTTTCATCTAAATTAAAACATCAATCTTAAATAGTTATTTACTATTATACTTCCTTTCTTGCATTAGTGTTGCCGCAATTATTTTTGGCAGCACTGGCATCAACAATAGTTTGGTTTGGTGATTTTTTGCGGCCCTCAAAACCGAATAGTACCGTAAAATGTTCTGTAGAAACGAGGCCATAAAAGTTAAACTCAACCCTTGAAAAATGAACAGACGAAGTTCAAAAAAAATGTGTTATCGCGAAAAGGAGTGAAAGAACAGATTCTCTCTTCTCTAAGTAGTAGTGCTTTCCCTTTTTGCCTCTTAAATTTTAAATAATTTATGAAAAATAAGTTTTACTAAAGAGGACATTTGTCAAGTTTTGTACCAACTATTGGAAACCTAAGTCTCAAAATTTATCATACGTCGATTCGCCATAGTCTGTCCCTCGTTTCAATATATATTTCTTTTGCGGCCATGTTGACACTGCGACTTTATCTAGGGTCATTCTTTAAGTGATGCTCTTTTTGTCTAAACATGATAACCCACATTTTTACAGTGGCATAAGAAGATTTATTATAATTGTAAATTTATGAATTCATAACTATTCCCTGGTGTAAGATCTTTCGTCATAAACTCAATCATCTAACGGTATCTGATGATTTAGATACTGACAGACATTACACTTTTTTACATCCTCACAAAGGGTAATAATAAAAAGGTGACTTACACCTTTTTACATCCTCACAAAGATCAACTGAATGTTACCAATGGCTCTTACTTTCGATTTTATACTCCGAAAAGAAAATGTAAACATTTCATTACATTTCGTCACCTCTCAACTTTAAAGCATATTTAGGCTTTAAAGTTGAGTTTAATGTAGTTTAGGCTGAGTTTAATGTACGATTTTATGATAGGTAGAACGTAATGTTTTAATTTAAACTTATGAATTTGAAAATCGTAGCTTCAAAGTAGTATAAATGGTAGTCTTTTCATTTATTCCTATGATAGAAAATAATTACGTTATCGTAAATTTACATGTGTAGAAAATGACTCTAGCGTATTTTAAATTTCCATAGATCTTAATATTATTCGTTTTTTTTTTTTTTTTTTTTCAGCTACCTGCCAATGGCATGCAACCGGACTGCGTAGAATATTTCATGAAAAAATCTCTCGCTGCTTTGCAGACGAATTATGTTGATCTCTACCTAGTGCATACACCGATATCATCCATGGTAAGAGTACAATGGATCTAGTAGGAAATTGAAAATTTTACAGCTAAATTTCATTAATATGCAATATATCTGTTAACAGCAGTTTTTGTCAAGATTCCAATGGATGCATTGTTTACTGCCTTACCCAACTTACTCAGTTTATCGGCTATCTAAGCTTAATTTACATTTGTAATCTCTTAATTTAACGTATGTGTTAAACAACTAAGCATTAATTTAAATAAAATAAAGTTTTATATACCCCCAAAAATCACTAAAACGTACTCAGAAGTCCTCTTATTTGTCAAGAAAAGAGACAACAGCTTTATTATTAATGCTAAAAAAGTTTTTTATTTATTAATATATTAATTATTATCGTATCATTTATATAAATATTTCAAGAATGTCACAAAAAACATTTATTGAATCCATTTAGGTAAACCTTTCACATTTAGTTCACAAAAAACATTTATTGAATCTAAACTCGCTATCCAGCTAAACCTTCAGCGCAGAAGAAAGCTTCGATTTTCAATATGTCGTCAAGCTTAGAGAAAAGCAGCAGACTCAGTGACTTGATGGATTACAAACAAGCCTTCTTCTTTCCTATATCTCCAACAACCAAATCTCCTAGATTTCAGTAGAGGGTATTTATTTTTCCCATTTTTTAGAATGATTTCAATAAAGAATTTAAAATGATTTCAATAAAGAATTTTAAAAATGAAAAAAAGAAAATTTCTTGGGAAAAAATTTTGGCAACATCTTATTATTGAAATGAGAAATATCGTCTGTTAATTCAAATTTATTTTTCTTTCAAAATATTTCATGTAAACAAGCTGTAGACTGAAAGATATGTTTTTGCGCTTTCCGAAGAGAAATATTCTAATTCCATGATTCAAAAAATATTGTAAACTTTATGGTATTAAATTTTCTACGTGCAAATTGAGCAACATTTTAATCGAAAACAAGAAAATCGTCAGTCATTATTTCTACGTGTAAAGAACTCTTGAAATGAATAACCAAAAAAGATACGTACTGATTTTAATTATTCTCAAATCATTGGTAAATCATTGGTAAGTGAAATCATTGGTAATATGAGAAAATATGCCGACTTAGACGTCTATTGCAGAGTTTTTAAATACAAATGTAACATTAAATGAAATAATAAATCAAGATATACAATTTAAAAAAGCTAAATCTCATAATGTTCACCAGCTTTTGCAGAGGCATGTGGCTCAATGCAAAACCATTTGTAGAACCCTGTATGAAGATTATTTAGCAGCAGAAAACTGAAAATATGTGTTGTGACCCTTAATTAAACATGAATTTGCCTAAATAACGGCAATAAGAAGATTTATTTATTATCGAAAGGGGGGAAGTGTATAAACTTGGTTCCATCAATGCAAAGAAAGTTTCAGAATGGGTTTCATGATTGTCGCAGGATTCTTTTGTAATGAGAAATTAAAAATAAGAAGAGCAGAAAAAAATGTTTCAATCAGCTTAACATACTATCAAGAGAGAGTTTTATGCCCAAAATTTATAAAAGAAGTTCCATGCCTTTATTCCAATGTTGTTAAAGAGTGAAACTTCATCGAGACAAATCAAATCATATGCATTCCTTGAAACAATGATGATACAGGTATTGCATAGATACCAAATATATGTGCATATATTCCTCCAAAGTTCCCTGGTGTCTCAATAGGGATTATTGTGTCTTTAATCTCTTGAAAAGAGCTTTTCCGAATTGCAAACCCACAACCATTGATGGAATCTGCAAAGTAGCGGAAAAGGAACAGAAATAATTCCCCTGGAAATTTTATGAAAGCCTTTCTATCATGAAAATCACGATGCGGATTTATAATCCAAAAAAATGGCTATCATGTTGAACCTTTAACAAATACTCTTTACATTTTTAAACATCAACTGAATGGCCCTGAAATCGTTCTAAAAATGTGTAAACACTCTCTTTATAAGGCATGATTATCATTTCCCTTAATATTTTTTAATGTAATTGCTGTTTTGCCAGTTTCAAAAAGTTAAGATACCTTATACGTGTAATTTCTAGTTACTTGAGCTCAAATAACAATTAACTTTTTCTTTGAAAGTTCTTCATGAAAGCATCCCTTCTTTGGGCAGAGGTCAGCGGGCTTTATACAAAACGCTTTTTAACAAAAAAGGGGATCGGTACTCGGAAGAACTGGACTGATAATCACCCGGCAAAATATATGACTTGAACAAATTTTGAATGATATCATTAAGCCTTAAATCATTCGTCATCTGAAGAAAAAGCTCTGAACTTGTGTATCCAAACATGTAGCATGGTTGTTAACAGGAGACTTTCTCCGGGTTTATTTCACTTCAGACGCGTTAGTCAACTAGTTTTAATTATGTCATAGCTCTAAAAGAGCTTTTTTTAACAAAGCAAGCATAATTTAAGGATTAGCTTTTATTAAAGAACACATGACGATACTTCGATATTTCTGTTATTGTATTATACTAGAAAAATCCAGTATTTTTGATATGCTTCATGAACTCACCCTGATCGGTACGGGGGCTAGTGGAGTCGGCTGTTGTGTCCGGGTTCGGATCCCAGAAAAAGAATATAACTGTCTGTCTATACCTTCTTGTGTATCTAATAATCTTCTGTCCCTTATAATACACCCTGATCAACGTTCTCGGGGTTGAGATAGCTAAATAATCAATGTCTTCGGTGATTTCCTACGAATGCTAAGTTAGCAAGAGTCTGTGTTTGGTAAAAGCCTGATACTTTCCTTGCATTTTACCAACATAAATTCACGAAGACAGTTATTGTTTACCTGAGACTATATTTTAAGAAAAGGAATTAGAAATTTAGTTTTTATTCTCACAGGCGTATATAACGAGAAATACCTTGATATCATGAAATAAAAATCTCAAAGAAAGCGTCTGAAAATTAAATTTGAGACTAGATTTCATTTCTAATCCTGACAATAACACACTTCTTATATATTGAAATGTGGTTCTCAAGCACTTTTACCCACTAAATTTTTCAGAGATTAACGCAACCAGAACTGTGTAGACAATACTAAAAGAAGGATGTGCAAAACTACCAGATTAAGAAAAAATGAGGTACAAAAGGCGAATTGCAATAATGTAGAATAAAATATAATAGTAGGTCTTACAATACACCCGACGAAAAAGCTGGAAAATGTCATTCATTATTAATAAAATACTAAAAATACACAATTCTTTTTTAAAAAACATAATTTTACAGAGTTTCCAACTGTGTAGAGACATTAGGTATTCTTTTGGAAGCAGGGAAGATGCAAAATGAGCAACACCTTTATCCAGGAATCGAACCACAGTTCTCTGGAATACGCGCCCAGCGTGCAGACCACCACACCACGAAGGCATGCTAGGAAGGCGGGAGAAATACCTTATATGCTCCCCCTTTTAAAGGGCGACTGGGGTTTTAGGGGACCATAGTTGATAATCGCAATTGTTATGATACAATTACAAGCCGAACAAGTACTAATTTAGAAGTCAAACAACAAAAAATAAGCGTTATATTTTCAAATGACGCTGTGAAAATTTGAAAATACAATGCTGATTTTTTGTTGTTTGACTCCTAAATCCCAACTGTTGTTGAAAAGTTTTTCAAAGTCTCATCTTGGCTTAAAGGGAAATTAAAGGAACTCAACATGCTCTCCCGTAAGCATTCTACATGTTACTAACAGGATTGTAGTACAGGTGAACACCTACGTTCACATACATATGAGGAATATGCATAATATGTAAGATAAAAAATATGTGAATCAAAATTATAATTTAAACTAACGGTAAAGCTTTAATTCTCCCTCTGTGTTCATATCGTAATAACTTCTCTGGATTGCGTCATTTCTACATCATTCGATTTTGCATGGCTTGCGCAGCGCTGATGACGTAATAATTGGAAACTGAAACTTTTGAACTCAAACCAAAAATTTTTTCCTTTGTCTGCTTCCATCTTTCATAACTACGCACTTCAGCTTCGCTCTCTGCTAGGATGTAATTTCGCTATCTTGCTTGCTATCGCAATAATGTCAAAAATGTAAATGTTCTTCAATAGGCACAACTAGAGTGCCAAGTGAACTGTGGCCACAAACGTCACCTGGAAAATAAAAATGGAATTAAAACTGCCTCGACTGTCAAATTTCTTAGATATTACCAAATCAACATATAAGCATATTGTCATGTATAGATGACAATCCTACTCTTTTGCCTACGATGGGCATTGCTAAAAGCTCATTTTTTTCACTTAATATGTGTACGTAATAGTTTTCTAAAAGTTACTTTTTTATCTTCGTATTTTTATCTTCCTTTCTTTCTTCTTCGCGCCTTCATCGCTTTTAATTTGTGAAAACCAGTTTACTTCCCTGCTTTGTGTAAATATACTATAATTTTATTTTGCAGCGGTCTAAAGATGACGACGAATATTTTGTAGTCAAAGACGATGTGTTTCAAGCTGACAATAATGTTGATCTAGTTGAAAACTGGAAAGTAAGTTTGAAACTTTTAAGATCAATCTGTCATTATAAATTCAGAATCCGTGAATATAAAACATTACACATTGATAATTAGTACACAAAATAAAAATACATACTTAATAGAAAGAAACTAAGCATTCAATGCAAAAATTGATAAAATTATGACACGTCATTGCGTACGCAAAATAAAGCAATGATTACTGCAATAACCTAATTCAGTTTCCTTTTTTCTATGTAGAATAGTAATATCGTTTGAAAAGTGGAAATTTTAGAAATATACTTAAAATTATTCGAGATTAAAAGAATAATTAACGTTACATCTAATGCTTAAGAACTTTCTGAGTGAATTAAAAATGACGAAAGACAATTGTGTTGGCTCATGCAACTAACTTTTCTAATCATCAACTAAGCTTCCTGATTTAAATCGTTTTTATTGCTACGCTTGAGGAACAAGGTTTTAAAATAAGAAAATTGAAATGAATTTTTCGTTATATAAAAGTTAGTTAAACCTTTTTCTTTAGTATTCAGTCTTAATTTCCTACATGAGTTCCTTACATATTTATCAAGAATTCACTCTTTTTTCCATTACACAAATCTCCATGCCAGTACGATCATACAACGAATGGAAAAGACGCCTCAGCTGTCACACAACAGTTTTTTATAAGCAGAGGCAATAATCAAAGCACTCAAATATATCGCTGCAGAAAACATACACCCTCCGCTAATTTGCGCAGACAGTATGTTTATACTCTGTACGCCATCGTTAACAACATGAATACATCACCAATGATAACATAAATTAAGCTTGATCTGTGAAGATTGTCGCAGGTTAAAGCACATATAGGAGAAAATGCTAATGAAATGGCCAATAAATTTTCAAAAGAGGCTGACAATAGCAGTAATGTCGATATTTAAGATATTCCACTATTACATTATATTGAAGTATCAAATGAACTGCAAAGTTCATAACCGTTTGGAAGAATAGAACATCCTAGAAGAAGGCAGATGCACATATTACCGCATATCAAATGTAAATGAACAACAACAAATCTTCAATCTGCAATTAATATGTTGTATCAGTGGACACGGACCCTTACTGACATATTTTTAAATTTGGGATTTCAGATGCTGACTTTTGGTGGTGAGCAAGGTACACCGGAGTACTCACTATTTAACAAGCTACAACTAATAGAAAGACTTCTTATAAAATTCCTAAATAACGATTTGAATTTATTTGATATTATTTAACTTACTTAATACTGTATAGCTGAATTATTTTGTCCTTCAAACTTTTGAAATGTATGTATATTTTAAAATAGGACTGAGTAGCATATAACTGCATCATGTTATATTTTCTGTTTCATTATATTAACTGACTATTATGTAACAGCCTATTATGAGTTTTATTTTAGAAGGATTAAATTTTACCTAATTCCAATATATTACATTATTAAGCATAATCAGTATTCTGTAAGTTAACAATGCTCTAAAAATGGTTGTAAATAATTAAGTTAATAAACATGTGCATTGGATTTGCTTTTACCTTAAATTAACTTCACCTTTAACTTGCTATTATAGTCGCTATCGTCGCCACCGTTTCATTTGTCACCATGCACCTATTCAAAAAAGAATTACAATGTAATATACAGTTGATTTTAAAATTTTTATTTATCCTTAAAGGTAATTTATTTACTCAAGAAAAAAATTTTACACCGTTCTGTTATTTTAAGCTTCACTTTTGAATATGCTAAATGACCAAGTTATCCATTCACTTTAAATTGCATAAAACTTTAATTTGGGGATACTAGTTGCCTGAACAGCATGTTGTAATATTTAGCAAAATTGTAGTGACATTGAAATAATCTTCTGAAGTTTAAATTTTTGTCTAATGAATCTATTTTCCAGGCCATGGAGAAGTTAGTAGACAAAGGCTTAACTAGAGCAATAGGTCTGTCAAACTACAACAGTGAACAAGTAAAACTTATTTATGATGCAGCAAGAATAAAGCCAGCAATGCTGCAGGTAATTTTACACCAATAAATAGTTATTATGCATATGTTCATCGATCATAAAAGATATAAACCTCACAGTGTAAATAATATTAGTACCAGCAAAAGTGCCCAGTTTAAATGTAAACTAATAATAGGAAATATTTTAATATACTAATAATAGGACTAATTCATTTCTTGTGTTACGATTTCTTTGTCGAAAGATGTTCGATGGTCGTATGAAAAATCGTTTGCTTGCCTGATTAACGCTCAATTGTCTAAGAATGCTATAAACCAAGTCTCTCTTTAAATTCTTACAAACTTTCTCTTCGAAGCATTTTCCATTATCTCTTCTAGTTCTTAACAGGAGAAATTTTAATATTAATTAACGTTTAAATTTTAACGTTTGTACATTTTAAATGCCTATTGTGATAAAAAAAGAAGTTATTAATTTATGTCTGTGCGCCCAGTATCGCGACTAATATTAAACTTTTTGAGCAAAATTCTAATGCTAGCACAAATAGCTGACAAAAGCAGAACATGTGTTAGTTTTTTTACTTCTGATGGCAAGAACAAATACAACAAGAAACTCAAAGACAGAGAATAACAGAAGTAACCGAAAGTCATAGCCTAAAACAGTCTCTGACAAGCCATATCGGGTGGCCTCGGAGTCATAACCAAGAAGTGCCCGACAGTGACAAAGGTGGGCTTTGTTCATGGATTACCTAAGCTCACAGAGTAGGCAAAAGGGTTGAGCAAATATACCAACACGGTAAAGATGTTCACCCAGAAAATTATGGCTTAAAAGTAGCTAAAAAAGGACCACAACATTACGTCGTGGATATTTTGGCAGGTAGCTATCCAACAATTCAGCTGATATCTTTGTCTCATAAGCTGTTAGACTGTATGTAATAAAACTGTTAAACTTTGATGCTCAAAATCAAAAACAAAGTGTATGCTACAGTCATCCGTTGATAGTGGTCCCTATTTTGTGGTTACTGAAGTTATGTTACATCGTTGATTTTTTTTTCCTCAAATGTTGCATTATATTAGGCATAAAAATGATTTCAAGCCAAATACAACTAAATAAATAATTCTATTCTCTTCAAAGACCTTTTTCTGCTTTTCACCGTACTTTAAAATTGTAATCTCTTTCTCATTTTTGCAATGTTAATAAGTTTGAACAAAATTTAAGAATAACACTTTTTTTATCAAGTGCTCATAATGCTCATATTTTCAAGTCATGTAATTAAAGTCTTTCCCCTTCCTTTCTTCAGGTAGAGTGTCATGCATATCTACCTCAGTTCGAATTATTTGACTTCTGCGAAAAATTAGGCATCGCTATGACTGCTTTTGCTCCACTTGGAACGTCAGGATTCGCAGAATTTGCCAAGAAAAATCCTGGACTGTAAGTATTTTTCGAAACGGGTAAGGTTTATTCTAAGTTTATAACAGTTATTTTTAAGTTAAAGCTCCTTTTCTATCTCTGTTAATTTGAGCTTACAAATTCCTAACTAGAATGAGTTTTTAGAATCGCGTTTAATGCAAAGGAGAAGGAGTAGTATTTAAGTCGAAGTTCCACTGACTTCGAGAGAGAGAATTAGAATTTCTGAATAATGCGCGTTTGCCTTTTGTCTACATCTCTTTGAGCTGTTACTATGCTCGGCCGTATTAAGTGTCCTTGATAGCTTCGCTAGAGAGTTCGATATTCAGGGGTCAATTAGTTTAGACTTGTATTAGCTTTGGCTAAATCTCTTTAGTTAGTCATTAATTAAGTCCTTATTTCTTATGCTTTTCAGTTTAAGCCCAAGTACAGGCTTTGCTGTACGCCCAGAAAAAGGGGCCAACTGTATATCCATGGAGGTAAGAAAGGAAGGAGTGGCCAACCGGCACTAGAAGTGAAGCACTGCTTCGAAGCTTCGGTCACCAGATGCGGTGTTCTTTGTTTACATTCAGAAGCTCGCTTGACAGTGTTCTGATAGTATTTCGACACACGACAGTTCCACACAAATCGAAAAAGGGACACTTTCACATGAAAGAAACATTTCACATGAACCGAATAGAGCATTAATTATAAATTGTCTTATATTTTTCGATTTAAAAGATGCCTCAGAAGCCAAAAAATCATGTCATATTTAAGAAAGTATTTTAGGAAGAAGCTCTTTAAATAGAAAAGAAATAATGCATAATTTTAATATTAATAATACAATAAACTTTGATCTTAATTTTTGTACCTTAACCGAATAAAATCGAATTACCTTAAATTTTTATTCTAATGTAATTAACGAAAACTTGTGAAAATAGTGTGATAGATAATAGCAATTTGTATAGTTTAGTGACATTTACCCAAAAATCACATCTTGGTTATTTTTCGATAACTAACAACAGCGATTTTGATTATGAATTTGTTTTATAAAATTCTAAGCTGTTGAACTACAAAAATATAAATTTTAACAAAAATGTTATGCTTAAAGAATGAAAAATACCTTACGGTACCTTTAAAATTGTATACATCTTTCGATACCCTTGATAGAGTATTCGCTACTTTTATTTTATGTTCCAAACGCCAAAATGTTTTAAATAAAATAATTTTTTTCACATCCATATATTATTGTAACATGTACCCTTTAAAATTTTTTAGAGGAGAGGCTTTACTGCTGCTCATTTTAAACTCTTCATTTTAATTTTATATATCTGAAAAATAATCCCTTTGGGCTTACACGTTTTACTTATTCGGGTTATTTAAAAATAAAATATAGTGAATGCACAGAAATTAAAGATTTGTGCATGCCGGAAATGAAAAATATGAAATATGTATGGGTATTTATGCAAGTGCTTGCAAAAAGCATGCATCTGCCTTTAACAAAATACATACAGTGGATGGACAAAAATATGGAAACACCCTGTGAAATGCATGTTTGAAAAGAAAGATTGATTTTAATGAAATATGTTGGTGGCACTGGCGTTTTTGACTACTGACGCCACCTATACAACTTCGTAAATGTGCTAAACAGTTCAGTTGTTAAGACACAATAACACGCCGAATAAATACTAATTCAGAAATCAAACAACAAATTTTTTGTTGTTTGATTTCTGAATTAGTTCAGTTGTTGTCGGAGTACTGTTATGTGAGGTTGTCATTGCATTATGTCAGAGTTAACAGACTTCGAACGTGGGCAAATTGTTGGAGCACGTATGGTAGGTGCTTCCGTAAGCAAGGTAGCCGAGGTGTTTAGTGTTTCAAGAGGTACTGTATCGAAGATTTATTCCGCATATTTGAAAAGCGGAAAAACATCATCTGCTAAATCACAGCGCGGACGAAAGTTTGTCCTGAGTGATCGTGACAGACGATCATTAAGGGCAATTGTGACGAAAAATAAGAAGACCACAGCTGCAAAAGTTACTGCTGCTGAAATGAATGTTGTGTTACCGAACCCTGTGAGTACCAAAAACAATTAGAAGGGAGCTTCATAAACAGGGAATTGATGGCCGTGCTGCAATTGAGAAGCCACTCATCAGTGATGCTAATGCCCGTAACAGGAAAAGGGTGGTGTTTAAGTCATAAAGCCTGGACTATAGAGCAGTGGAAGCGAGTAATATAATATGGTCTGACGAGTCTTCTTTCACATTGTTTTCCCACTTCTGGCCGAGTTTACGTCTGGAGAAAGAACGCCATCTCAAGCCTATAATACAGACTGCTTGTTGCCAAGAGTGAAACATGGCGGGGGTTCTGTTATGGTTTGGGCAGCCATATTGTGGTTCTCTGCTAGCCCCATGATAACTGTGTCAGGGCACATGACTGCCAAGACTTATGTGAACATTTTGGCCGATCAAGTTCATCCCATGGTACAAACTTTGTTCCCCAATGGTGATGGTGTCTTCCAAGACGACAAAGCCCCTGTTCACACAGCTCACATTGTCCAGGACTGGTTTTCTGAGCACGAGGATGAGTTGTCCAATCTCCCCTGGCCACCACAGTCACCAGACCTGAATATTATCGAACCTTTGTGGTCACATTGGAACGGAAAGTGCGTTCTCGTTATCCACCGCCAACATCGTTATCTGAACTTGCCACCGTTTTGCAGGAAGAATGGTATAATATTCCCTTGGCAAACATACAGGAACTGTATTTATCCATTCCGAGAAGACTGCAAGCTGTTTTGGATGCCAACGGGTTTCCTACACCATATTAAGCAAAGAAACATGTTTTTTTAAAGGTGTTTCCATATTTTTGTCCAACCCCTGTAAATATTCATTAAATTATTTATAAATGTATTTGAAATGAAGAATTTATTCATTTATAAACAACTCTGAAGAAATCTAATTATTAAATGTATCTAATTTATAATGATTATAAATGTTATCTAAATATATAATAACCTTAATATTGAATTGTAAACATAAATTGAAATCCTGTTGACAAATACGTTATAAAACTATTTAACAAAGAATTGTTCGTACTGGATAGCAATCTGTTAAAAGGCATTGTAAAGCAAATGCTATGAGATGCGCACTTAAGAAAGTAATATAGAGTTTTGGAATATGTATTGTTGAAATGAAGGGTAAAAAAAAATCTGATAAGTATAATTAAAAGAATTATTCCCCTTACATTTTATAATAACTCAGTTACAAGTTTTAAATAATAATAGGAAACTGTCCTGTGAAAAGTACAGCATTTAATTCCGTTCAGAATGAAATGTTGTTTAAAAATATGTTTTCATATACTTAGGACTCTGAAGTGTTGTAGAAAAAGAAAATATATACATTTATATGTATATTTACGACGTAATTACAAAATATTTACATACGATCCCATCAAAACCCATTGAACTTAATGGTAAATGACCCAATGTTTTGGTCACCACGTAGGGATCGCCGGTGCTTCAGAGCAGGGTACGGGAGAAACCTGTTTAGGGCTACTCCATCTTACTTCCTACCTCCATGTGTATATCTTGATTGAGAGCAATAAAGGGTAATTAACCATTCGTGAGTTTACGTTTCTATTTCTGAACTTAAGCAATTATTCGCTCAACTGTTCATTAGGTTCCTCAACACTTAGTTATTAGATAAAAGGAAGGAACACTACAAACTCATATCATCCGATATAAATAAAAGTTCATAGGAATCCAATATCCGGACCGAACCACTAACAATAAATGTTTTAGAATTTTAATAATATTCTAACAATATTCCTCTAGGAATGAAGAATATAATATTCAAGGAAAAGCCGGTATGATGTAATCACAAATTTTCTCCCGTCTAACATAGATTCCTTTATGTTATTTTTAAAAACAGCTATGTATTAGCTTCGGCTAAATCTCTTTAGTTAGTCATTAATTAAGTCCTTATTTCGTACACTTTTCAGTTTAAGCCCAAGTAGAGGCTTTGCTGTACGCCCTGAAAAAGGGGCCAACTGTATATCTTTATCGAGAGCAATAAAGGTAATTAACCCTTCGTGAGCGACCAATGAGTGATTGGTCTTATATTGACGTTATATACGGCCACTTTCAGGCATACAGTGATTCGGAGCTTAACATTTTTCTGTTTGGCCTAAACAATAGCTCTATAAGGCATATTTTAGTTGGAGGGGAATGTTCTCATATAGGTTTTCTTTTATTAGCAAAAGCAGTGGTGAAAAGGAAAAATAATCAAATTTCGAGAAGACAGCAGTTCACTTAACACAGCCTTAATTTTCTGATTTGAGTATCTTATTATTTTGTATTATTAATCTTATCAAAATTACAGTTTTAGTAAATAATAACGTCTGCATTTCCCGAAACTGTACATCTTCTTCGTCTTCCCGAAACTGTACATTGGGCGCCTTCTCAAAACTGTACATCGGTCATTCAGCCAATATATAAGGTATTTTCTTACTTTTTTTCCGCATGCCTTCATGATGTAGCTAAAAGCCTGTCCTACGTCTATTCGGAAGGTCCGGAGTTCGAATCCCGGCGAGGGCATTGCGAATTTATAACTGGCCTTCGTTAATAACAGGCAAGCCTTCGTTCTTATAGCTGGCAAGCCTCCGTTCTTATAGCTGGCAAGCCTTCTTATAGCTGGCAAGCCTTCGTTCTTATAGCTGGCAAGCCTTCGTTCTTATAGCTGGCAAGCCTTCGTTCTTATAGCTGGCAAGCCTTCGTTTTATAACTGGAAGCAGTCGCGCTGGTCGCGTTCTAGGAAGATTCGGAGTTCGAATACAAGCGAGAGAATTACAGATTTTTCCCAACCAGTATAGATATGGACTACAAATGGATACCGGAATTTTGTGCGCACTGAGAGGCAGATGTAAAGTAGCTTCTTAAAAACCGGTGCTGAGGTAAAACCATCCAAGACCTCTAGAAATATTTTAATATAAAATCCGATGTATGGGGCATTACAAGATCAGATCATGAGAGAATGTGTCTACAGGTATTTTCAAAAATACTTGGCATAATTTATAGCCAATTACTAAATTTCATGATGATGAGGAGGAAGTGGAAGCCGCGAATCTGAAGGTTTTCAGTTATTCCAAGAAAAAGCGAAATGCTTGAATTAATAGAATATCAGAAGAAATGCTAATTGAAGATGATGTGACTGAAATCCTACATTATGATGGCAATGCTTCTGTACTGGTTAGGATCTGTACCTAGGCAGTCTCAACCATGGGGACATAATAACAGACTTCACAGAAGGCCTGAGGGCTCTCAGGACAGAGTAAGTCTCGACAGGGACCGTACTGGTACTGCCTTGCCTGTCCTTGCTCTGTGTGGTCACAACATGGTTGATTGATCAAGGGCGGGGCGGCACTTAATCCCGTTTGGCGCCTAAAAGGTCGCATTAGGTCGGGAGCCGTCTCGTTCCAACAGCGTTGTCATCAATCAAGTAACAGTATGGGGAATATTATATTTAGTATAGTTTAAAAACCAAAAACATGTTCCCAATCTCTCTTAAAGGAATATTAATAAAGGATATTTTTTATATTTTCTATATGTCATCTTACTGGATTTAAACTGATGATCCAATATCCGAAATCGTCGATGTTCCGACGATTCTGTAGCTCAGACGCATATTAGATTCTTATTTATACCTTTATAGAATTAGTCGCATCTGTTAGGTATTTTAATTTTACTAATCAGTTATATTTTGTTCGTCCCTGCCTACTTTCATTCCAACCCCAAACCTCAAATCATACCCCAAACCTACTTTCATTTTAGTAATGTCCTCTCGATCCAGGTTCATGTAAAAGAAAGAGGTAACGTTTCAAAAGACCACGCAAGTGGACTTTCAAAGTATCAAATGTTTTAAATTCATTGTTCTTGAAATAACAGTTTTGCAGATTTGTGCTTCTTGCACAGTACTAACGATCTATTTGAATTATTAATGAAACCTGTATATCAAAGATTATTAACTACCACAATAGCATATGTTTGTAATTCAAAAGGAAAGGTAATTCTAGTTCGCGCTATTATTGATTAACAGCAGCACATCCATGGATGCCTACTATCACTTTCAAATGTCGCTAGATATACCTGCAAAAGTAGCTAAAAAGTCGCTAAATTCAGAAGGAATTTCGCTAAAAGTAGTAGCTAAAATTGAAAAAAAAAAAGTATAATCCATATTCCATAATAGGTTTTGTTACTCGTCATTTTTTTAAACTGAATTTTCATAAACATATAAATAATGTCCCAATTTTTTTGAGGACCATCAAAACGTTTTCACGGACGTGGACCAAACGGTGGTCCGTGGACCACCAGTTAGCGACCACTGCTGTAAACTGTTTTATAAGTTTGATCTTACAGCTGTATTGCTCATGAGTAGGTAGGCTTCAATTAGTTTTATTTAGCTGCCACTATCGAATAGGATCACCCGTTCTATAAGACGTTCAGATGATTTGCATAATTTTTTTTTCTTGATAGCTACATCGAATTTTACGTATTCTCCTCAACTTATGTGTCTGTGAAATTCTATATTGCTTGAAAATTGCTGCAATATATTAACTTCTTACATTTTTGACCTTCTGTATTAAACTTCTTAGGAATGGTTAAGAAATATAATTCTGTCAAACGAATATGTTTTTACAGCGACTGTCCTCATCCTTGTTTGGTGGAAGATGAGCGATTGAAGCCGATCGCAGAAAAATACGGAAAAACTCCTTCTCAGGTAATTATATACTTCTTTACATAATAAGGTAATTTTATTTCACTTGCCCAGATAATGCTTAACTGTTCTTTGGATGACAATTAAAGCTAAAATTAACAGCTAATATAAAATGTAAAAGCTGTAGATATATTAAGTATCACAAGTTAAACAATGTTTCTTATCATTATTATATGATGTGAATTCTGGAATTGCTTATAAATGTTTTGTTGAGTTGCAGCTCTATTGCTTTTGAAAGGTAAATAGTGTATGTGATTTTATATTTTCCAGAGAAAATTCAACATTTAACTTAAAATAATTTACTCCGAATAATATATTAATTTTAAAGGATATTTATTTCTAGTAATAAAATCATATTCAAGTTGCAATTTTGATAACGAATAGAACATAAAATCATAAAATATACATGAATATGCTAAACGCTATTTTAAATGCGAAATTTTATAACAATTTACAATTACAAAATGATTATAAATGCAGGCTTTATTCATGTATTTGGGCACGCATTCTTCTTAAGTTACAGGCCAACCAGCGGCCGAGCGGTAAAGTCGCTGAACACTGGTAGTTCGGTCCGAGGTTCGAATCCTGCGAACGGGCTGGCTGCATGGGCGTTTTCGTGGTTTTCCCCATGTGTAACGTGTATACGAGCCAGTTTCCCTTAAAAAGTTCTCCACTAAGGCATCCCTCCCTTTAGACATCAAGATGCCTATTAAGGGACAGATAGCCCTCGAGGCTTTGCCATAATCACATACACACACTTCTTAAGTTACACCATTCTTTTCCTGAAAATATTATTTCCCTGAGATAAAGTATTCTTCACACATTTAGTAGATAATATGCCAGAAATGCGCATGGTTGAAAATAATGTTAAAGAAAGGAACTATGAAAAAATAATTTTTGGATAAAAGTCGTTTCATAATCTTACGCTCTAAAAATGTCTGAGGAAATTTGCCTCACAGTTGTGTGTTATACCATATACGTCACATTAATGATTTGGATCCAATAGATCTTGCATAAATGCTTTTAATTATTTATATGAAAGATACAAATTTTACATGCTTTTTACCTTAAAATTCAATTAAGGAACGAATTTTAGTTAAAATGGAAAATTTAACCATTTGCATTAACACAAAGCCGTACATTTCCTTAGCTGGAAAATAATGGTCCTAACAGGCTACAAGTTTTTCACCACACTATTAGACTAAATAAAACCATTTTTTTTTTTTTTTTTCGAAAGGTTTCTGTAAATTTCAATTCAAGAATTGCCTATGAGGTCTGATTTGAAAATTTGTATTTTTTGAAAAAAAAAAAAGTAAGTTTTATAGAAAATATTCGAACTTTTACTTCCAAGAGAAATTATTCTTTTGGAAATTCTTTACATTTAATCTTAAAATATTCCGATGAAAATGCATGTCTAAGATAGTTACATATTTTACTTCTGTTTTTTCATTTGTGTACAGGTTTTATTGCAGTACCTAGTGAAAAGAGGTATAGTTGTGATCCCGACACCGAAAGAAAACTGTCCTCATGAAATTCAAGATAATATTCAGGTAATATACTGATTAAATGCAAAATGAGAATTTACGAATTATTTTTAAAAAATGCTTGAAATAGGATTTTTCAGTTTGAGCCAAAATTCTGCTCTTTTATTGATTCTTACTTAATTAATCCTGTGAATGCCGCCAAATAATTATAAGTCCCGAAGATATGTTTTAATTGCTATAATTTAATTGCTTTAAGTTTTTAAAACTAAATTTTTGTGACTCTGAAGGCAATTATTAGATTGCTTTGGAAATCTTGGCCTTGTTGTCAATAATATACATTAAAAATACTTTTTTGAATTTCTTTTTTAAATCATTAAAAAATTCTAAAATTCTGAAATCTTAAAATATTACAAAAGTGAAAAAGAGGCTGTTAATTAGATTAAAAATACTCTAATTAAGATTGAAACAAAAATGAAGTTCTTACGGCATTCGTTAGCTTTAAGCTATTCATTGAAGAACGTTTCAACGCTATTAAATAGAATATTACACCATTTTAAATTATTTTTTAGCTCTATAAAAAGTTAACATTTTGGGAAATCAATAAATCTTTTTCATTATAATTCTTATCGACTGTAAGTTGTACTAACTTAAGAATTAGTTGCCTGAACTAAGAAAAATTTAATATTTATCAAATGTCCTTTTAGAAAAACAAAGAATTCGGAACGTAATTCCGTTCAATAGTCTTATCTGCAGTTATATAATTACAGACTCATCCTGCTAAAGAGATATAAATTCTTTAAAAATTTCTGTATTGAAAACTAATATGTAATTCTTAACATGTTCTGCTATTTTTCTTAAGGTATATAAACGTTTTATATTTGGAAAGTTTTTTACCACTAATAATTGTATAACTTAATTTAACATATCTGACAGTTGTAAATGATTGATAAAAAACTATTTAAATATATCCATGTCATGCAAAAAGTGAAAACCAGTTTTTCAGTGCACTCATAATATTTTCTCTTCTTCTTTTGCTGAAGTAAAGAATTGTAATACGGAAGTTACTGACGTATTCAGCTTTCAAATTTTATTACAAGATAAAGCTTATCTGGAGTATAATGAGCTGGAGTATATTTATAAAGAATATCTGAAGTATAATGATAAAACTTATCTGGAGCTTATCTGGAGTATTAAAAAACAGGTATCCGGACATAATCCCTACAGCCAAAATCCCGACAAGCCAGAATCCCGACAGGGTCGAAATCCCGACAAACCAAAATCCCGACAGGGTCGAAATCCCGACAAGCCAAAATCCCGACAAGGTCGAAATCCCGATTGTCCAATATCCCGACAGGGTCAAAATACCGACACGGGCGAAATCCCAATAAGGCCTAATGACCCCTTAACATACTTCCCACAGCTGCAACTAGTATATGCTTTGATGACTAGAAAATCTGAAGAAAATTACAAAAGATTATTCCAAGATTTAATTGATTTCGCTGAAGAAAAAAAAATATTGAACTGAGGCCATCTAGAATCATTAGTGATCTAGAAAAGGCAGCTATAAATGCTCCGCGCACTCAAAATGCTGTCGAGGATTGACACAGAAGATGGGAGGACCTTACCTTATTGGACGGCCATGTTGGCGTTTATAACATCATAGAAGGATTTCAAAAAGAACAGGAGCATGTGGAATACCAAGTTGAATGCATTCTTCGCGGAGAACAACAACGAAAACGTAGAAAGGTAGATGATGACAGAGAAAGGAGAATTATGACTGTTGTGGACGATCGTGATAATCGACGTGTGATGGAATATCTTCGTGCTATCGCTCACAATGTGTCACTGTAAATATGTCGTTTGCATGTGTAAGTGATGTTTTCTTTTTATAAATCTTCATTTCAAATTTTAACGGTCATTTCAATTTGTTAAAAATTATTTTAAGTAATGACATAATTTTTATGATTTTTTGATTTAAACTTTTAATTAGTAATATGTAATAGTTAGTTAAAAATTGTATTTTATTAAGCTAAATTGAGTGTTTGTAGTTAGATATTAACTTGTCGGGATTTTGGACAGTCAGGATTTCGACCCTGTCGGGATTCTGGACACTCTAGATTCTGACCCTGTCGGGATTCTGGCTTGTCGGGATTTTGACCCTGTCGGGATTTCGACCGTGTCGGGACTTTGGGTTGTCGGGATTTCGGCCCTGTCGGGGTTTTGGACAGTCGGGACGGGATTCTGGCTTGTCGGGATTTCGGCTGTCGGGATTATGACCCAGACCCTAAAAAACAACATACTTCTCAGAATCGTTTTAATCTTTTTTATAACAACAAGATTTATTAGCAGAATATTTTCTGTAATCATCGCCATTTTATTTACTATATTTTCATTATTGCTTAGTAACAGAATACTGACTTTGTTTAAATAATGACTTAAGTAATTGGTTTTTCAAGCCTTAAAATAATTATTTATACTTTTTGTATCAGAATAAAATGATGAAAATGTAAGATAAGACGAGAATCTGTCTCAGATCAATCTGTTTATCAGAAGTTTTCAGTGCTGACCTACGTATAGCTGATTAATCTCTAACCTTACAGAGAACGAAGCATAATGCAGTGCAATATCTGTACATAAAACTTAAAAGCAATATTTAATAAAAATAATTATAGAAGCTTTTATTTAAAACAGGTAAAATAATTAATGAATTCAAAAGCAAAAAAGTAATTTATCATACGATTAAATGAAAAGAATACATTAAATAACTCTTTCTGCAAATTCATCTATAATTTTATATCACAAAAAATAAAAACGTATGGTCCCCTTGATAATAATACGTAAATAATTACTTGTTTCAATGACACTTGATAATAATACGTAAATAATTACTTATTTCAATGACACTTGATAATAATACATAAATAATTACTTATTTCAATGATATTAAAAAATTTATTTTATGTACTTTGAAGTTTCTAAAGTAATTTTAACAATATTGATCCATCAAATGTATTTAATTGATTGCCTTCGGTTGATTTAAAAACGCTCTATTAGATCTGAGTTTGGATAATTGTATATTACATTTAGAAAAAGTCAAAAAATATAATTTTTTTTTTATTTTAAACTCCAAAATAATTAATAAACTAAAAGAATAAAAATAATTTATCATACTTTTTCATGGACATTAGAGATTAAATAACTCCCTTCAGTAAATATATTTACAATTTTATATCACGAATAATAAAAGCGGGAGGCACACTAGGTAAATTTATAAAGATAATGGCTTATGCTTTTGACAGTGCAATTCGATTCATCGATTTCGACGTTTGGAAGACTACGCTTTTATTATTCATAATATAAAACTGTAGATGAATTTTGAAAAGGGAATAATTTAACTTCCTGTTTCAATAAAAAAGTACGATAAATTATATTTCTTCTTTTAATTCATTAATTATTAAATAAGTTTTAATTAAAAGATTATTTTATTTTCATCTTTAATGTCCCAAAGACAGGTTTTCAATTATATCACTGAGTTGAAAAATCATTCTTTTATTTCTAATAGCTTAGTTACATCAAATGCGATAGAGCGATGTTTAAAAATTTACCAAATTTCAGAAATTAAATTGCAGTTTTCATTATATGTTTCATTTAAAAGTTTTTTTATCTTTCTATTCACTAGTGCGAACAGTAAAATTCTGATGTCTAATTTATTCATTAAAGTCTTTATTTATTCATTGCGAACACCGTGATGTAATTTCTTTTAATTATAATTATTCCAAAAAAAGCATGGTAGAGGAGTTGGGAGAACTGAATGTTAGCAGCAGATTGCCATTTGTAGATTTGCTGAAGCTTGTTGTACAATCCTTTGCTAAGGAAAAGTGAAAAAAAAATATCCTGAAAGACTGCAGTGATGATCTACCAGAACTATCTCGTTTGGCAAAGAGAATAATAATATCGTATTTATGGATATGTCTCACTTCTGAAAAACAATTGATGATTCTCAGTTTAGAATCTGAAGCGTGCTGATGCTGATGCTACTCTTAAATTAGTGGTTCACATCAGTGGTCCTTTAGTACCTATAACATATACAAGGGTGAAAAGCCGATACGCCATTAAAGTGCTGTTAACCTTCTTGTTCTAGTATTTTCAAAATATACAAAATACTATTATTTGTCATAATAATACCCAGTCAAGCATATAACTAATAACAAATAGCCTTTGCAAGATATCTAGCCATCTTTAGCTAGTATTATCTTCAAATTTCTTTTCGTTTGAGAATCTGTCTGCCAGTCCATCACCACATTTTTCACGTGTCAGTCTCATCTAGTGAATTCTTATACCAAGCGACCTAACCCCAACTAACCGATAATTGTTGAAATTATAATTTCTGACATGCATTGCCGAATACTTATTGTGAAATACAATAGCATCGAATTTTTAAAATCAGATCGGATCTGTATATGATTAATGGACTGTTATAAATCTTCATAAATAAAACTTACTTATGATTTAATTGTCTATCTGTCAAATTTCGTCTCCTTTCCAACATTCCTTGAAGATGTTACATCTTCTGAAACTTCCTTTTGTAAAATAGCATATTTCAGTACTTGCCAAACAGAAGAACTAAGGGAAGTACTTGCTCTCTCTCAGTTCATGGCAAGTTACGGCAAGTTTCATATTTATATTTTTCATTATTGATTATTTGTAAATTGTAAATATCTTTGCTTATTAGTATTTTATTATGATATTACAGTCTTTACCTCTTTTTCGCTCTGTATTTATCCCTTCTTTATACAGACCTATTATATGCATAAGAATTATTGAGCTAAAATTTTGATTACTATTCTTTAGTTCTTTTTGGTTCAACGTTCCCTATCTAATGTTTTATTTTGCTCTGTGTCCTCCTTTTCTTGCAACAATGATATCGTGGGAATTATACCTGTTTACCTCTGTTAGCCACCAGGTGTCCACGTCCTCCGTCATCTGCTACAGTGATATATCTTTTGACAGAAAAGTTCCGGAACAATTCTTTTAATTTCTGAGTTTGCTGTACAAAGGAACAAATGTTGTTTCTGTGTTACCTGGTATGTATTCTTCTTACTCGACATGACCTTGGCCATGTTTCCATGCAAATTTTTAGGTGGCAAGGCTGTGCCTAGAAACACACTGTTCAGATTCGCAGAGTCGTAGCTAGGGTTTTCAGCGCCCAGAGACAACTGAAGATTTCGCGCCCCCTTCTGCTTGCCGAGGATGGAAAGCATTTAATTCTAAAATGTCGTAACATTAGTTTGGCGCCCCTTGGATTCTGCGCCCGGGGACAGATGCCCCCCTTGCCCCCCTCTAACTACGCCCCTGTCGGATTGTTATCGCATTCGTGGATGGATGCTGATTGTGAGCAAAGAGTGAACATTAAGTTCTACGTTAAGCTCGGGAAAACCCCTAGTGAAACGTAGAACATGATTAAGCAAGCATATGCAGGCAAGGAATTTTCCAGGAGTCGTGCTTTCGAGTGGTACAAAAGGTTTCGTGAAGGCAGAGTTTCAGTACAAGACGATCCCAGAGCTAATCGCCCGTCTATAGCACATACCGATGCAAACGGGAAGCATGTAGGGCAGTTATTGCAAGAGGACCGTCGTCTAACTGTGTAATATAAGAAGAGCTAAAATTGAATCATGATGTGTATCATAAGATTTTACGTGAAGATTTAGGGAAATAGAAACTTAATGCAAGAATCGGTCTTCACTCACTAACAAATGAACAGAAAAAGGAAAGGTGAAGAATTTCTGCTAAACTATGGGGGGGGGGTGATAGAGCTAGACGTGATCCCACATTTGTGTCAAAGATTATTGTGATTTTTTCTTGTTTCCGTGAGTGAAAAGGTGACTGAAAGAAAATCTTCATTAAGATTATTGCAGACATCCAACAGGCTGTGACAAATGAGCTTCTAAGCATTGCAGTTGAAGATTTCCCTGCTTGCTTCCAAGACCTCCAGAAACGGTGGCAGTTGTGTATTGTTAGCCAAGGGGACTATTTTGATAGCAGCTAGGATCATTACTTGGTAAATGCAATTTTCTATTTTTTTGCGGCTGTCGTCCTGGAAATTTTCTGACAAAGGATGTATATTAGATCCTTTGAATGTGATCTGTAAGCACTTTCTGTTAACACATAAAACATTTTGATCCATCAAATTAAATATTTAATATGCATTGAAATCCATCAAATTAATATTTAATACGCATTATTCCGTACAAAACAGAATAGTAACGATTAGATTTTTTAACGCATTTATAGTATATAACGAACGAACATGGGAAGTATCCTGTGTCGGTAAACTCAAATATATATATTGGAAGAACGCGTTACTTGAGCGCATTTACTATCATTGTAAGTGCGAACTTTTGGACAATATTTTAAGCGTTTTCGGCAAAATGTTTATAATTTCCGTTCTCTTATAATAAAAAAATCTAATATGAACACCACATTACTTCCTTGTATGGCTTATTAAATTATACGCATTTTTTCCTGCACTTCATTTAAACTTATTTCCTCGAATTTCATTAGAGATATATTTCTCATTTAATTAATTCAGTACTTCGCTACAAGGCAAAAACACATAAAAACTCAGATATCTTCATTAAAAAATGTGAAATACCGAAAAACAAAACACCGCAGATATAGGTAAAACAGTTAAAATAACAATTTTTAGAAATTAAAATTAGTGTTTCCTCTCAAAAACAAGCAATTCGGCCAGCATGCAAGAAGGCAGATTTTTCCGTGCACAGAACTGAAAGTTTACGTTTGATCCCATTCGTCAAAAAGACATTGAAAATGCCGAAACTGACCTAATTCACTATTTTGCTGAGGTTCAAATGTAAACAAATGGCGGTTCGTTAGGCTTAACTCGCCACTTAAACTTTTAAATTGTTGATAATTCTACAACTATTGCATGCAGATTAACTAAAGGCATAAAAACCTTAGCCGGAACATAAAACCACATATTTCAATATTTTTTTTTTTTTTTTTAAGTGCGCAGTTTACCAGCATATAAGAATAATAAAAAAAAAAAGGAACCAAACTCTCCGAGCCCGGTAACAGAATGGGATATTTACTATATATGAATATATATATAATCGTATACAGATTATATATATATATATATATATATATATATATATATGTATGCGATTTGTGCAGCCGATTGCAACAAAAAAGGGAGGTTCACAACTGCATCTTTTAGCAGTTTCATATACAAAATTTCAACCTTTTACGGCTACTCGTTCTTGAGTTATGCGAGATGCATACATACGCACGTACGTAAGTACAGACGCCAAGAAAAATATCACTTCTGAATCCATTTCCTTCACTTCGTACAATGAAGTAAAAATTAACCTTCATACAATTTGAACTTGTACCATCATATATAATAGTATGAAGGGTCGACTGGCATTTTTTGGTATGATTCCTAGAAGGATGGGTAACGGTTATTTTTGAAAATCAAGTGAATGTTTAGATTTTATTTTCAAAACATTTTTAGACAGTAAAATTTTTCAAGTGTATTTTTTTTCTTCTCAAAACCTACTTATTGTCTTTCGGATCAGTAACGCCTCCCAGATCTCCTCAATCCTTACACTGTACAACTGGTTTAGGGTTTAGACAGTATTAGTGTAGAATAAACAGTGTATAAGTAGTTATTGCAATTTAACCTGGTGTCATTTAACATATGAGACAATTCGACTGTAATTTTTTATCTATCACTAAAAACTCTCTATATGTTCATAAACATTCTGTTTTCAGATCTTTGATTTTTCACTAACTAAAGAAGAATACTTTGAAATAAAAGCAATGGGAGATGAAAAAAGAAGATATATGAAATTCGATCACATCAAAGGGTATGTAAGATTGATATCATATTTCACTTGCATTACTTCTTGTGTACTACTAGATTAATACTCGGTCTATCAATAAATCTTGCAAATTTCAAAAGGAATTTGCTCATTCTATTCCGAAATACTATTGCTTGATGAAAATGCTAAAACACAAAATGCAAATAAATTATCATACTTTTTATTTCAGAAGTTCTCGTTCCCGCTATATGCATTATATATAGATATTGTATATGTAGAATGTCTACCTGTATCCTGTTTTTCTTCCTGAATCTTCAGTCTTTATTAATATAATTTCAGTATAATAATAGTTTTTTGTTTTTGTATTCTATTGTTAACACTCTTAAATTAAGAGCAACTTCTTTATAAACTTTTGTTAAATTATTTGCAGCATTAAATTTCTGGGAGAAATAATATTCTTTCCGCAAGTCATGTATATCAAATTCCTTCTCCTACTTCAGCGTTTCTAATCATATGCCGCATTTGCTCTTTTCCTATGCAATCTTGCATCTATTATCCGATTAATTTTGATAAATCCGAGTATTTTTGATTAATTTAGTACATTTTAATGAATAAAGAGTTTTTTATCTTCAAAATTTCTTTAAATTATTCTCATATATTGTATTTGTTTGTATAAACATAAGTTTTTTATCTGAATATTAATTCGGTAAATACCTCCAAAACTTGTTAATATATTTAGAGCACATTTTTCAACTAAAAATTTTTTATTTCTTGTTTTTCTAAAATACTATATTGAGCAACTTTCCTTCTTAGAAACTTCGCTTTCTTTTCAAATCAAATTTCTTCTGCCATTTTGAGCAACAAATTCTAAAATAATTTTCCATGATCACAAATGACAAATAACTCCGTATTCGTATTCTCAGTAATAACTGAAAAGGGGTTTAAATTTTTATGTCTCCTTTCTTCTTTACTAGCAATTACTGCTTTATTGATACTAAATGTTGGAAAAATATCTTAACTGTAGCAAAATCTGTTTCTGCAATGGCTTCCAAATTTTAAGCAACAAACGGAAAATTAATGAATACTCAAAAGGTGGGCAGGCAAATTGGACGAAACTTGGTAATAATATATATTAGACCTTCTATAACTTAAAAACAGAAGAAAATGTTATACGACATACTTATATTTTCTGTATCAACAGGCAGGTAAAACCTCCTTAATTCGGAAATATAAATTAAATAAAAAATTTCTAGATTCTGAATATAAGCATCCCGAAAAGCAATACAGACCTGACATTGATGTCTGATTCTGTTTATGTATTATCAATGAATTGCATGGGTAGCAGTACTCGTTGATCTGGTAAAGCAGCTTTAAGGGTTTGGGGAAGGGTTATTTTAGAACTTAAACAACAAAAATTTGTTTATATAGTGTTATAATTGTTTTTAAGTTATAGAAGGTCTAATATATATTATTACCAAGTTTCGTCCATTTGCCTGCCCCTTTTGAGTATTCATTAAATTTTCGTTGTTGCTTTAAATTTGGAAGCCATTGCAGAAAAACAGATTTGCTACAGTTAAGATATTTTTCCATTTAGTATCAAAAGCAGAATTGCTAGTAAAGAAGAAAGGAGACATAAAATTTAAACCCCTTTTCAGTTATTACTGAAATACGAATACGGAGTTATTTGTTCATTTGTGATCATGGAAAATTATTTTTAGAATTTGTTTGCTCAAAATGGCAGAAGACATTTGATTTGAAAAAGAAAGCGAAGTTCTAAGAAGGAAGTTGCTCAAATAGTATTTAGAAAACAAGAAATAAAATTTTTTGAAAATGTGTCTAAATAAATATATTAAACAAGTTTTGGAGGTATTTACCGAATTAATATTCAGATAAAAACTTATGTTTATACAAACAAAACCAATATATGAGAATAATTAAAGAAATTTTGAAGATAAAAACTCTTTATTCATTTAAAATGTACTAATTAATCAAAAATACTCGGATTTCAAAAATTAATCGGGATAATAGATGCAAGATTCATAGGAAAAGAGCAATGCGGCATAGATAGAAAACGCTGAAGTAGGAGAAGGAATGTATACATGACTTGCGGAAAGAATATTATTTCTCCCAGAAATTTAATGCTGCAAATAATTTAACAAAAGTGTATATATGTTTATATATTTGTTTATATAGTGTTATGTTTGTTTGTATATGTGTTATGTTTGTTTATATAGTGTTATATTTGTTTATATAGTGTTATATTTGTTTATATGTGTGTTATATTTGTTTATATATGTGTTATATTTGTTTATAATTGTTTATATATGTATATTTGTTTATAGAGTGTTATATTTGTTTATATATGTGTTATATTTGTTTAACTACCGAACCATTTTTCTCAGCTGCCAAAGTACAAATGAGGAAGGTGAGCATTTCGGCAGCTGAGGAGATGGTTCGATAGTTAAACCATTGAAACTGGTTCTAGCAAATTTGCAAATATAACACTTATTTTTGTTGTTTGACTTCTAAAATTGTTCGGCTTGTAGTTTTAGGCTAAATTTGGGGAAGGGGTTAGAGGTCAGCAACACACCTCCCAAGAACGTCTCACATATGCTCAATGGGATTAAAGTCGGGATAGATTGCTCGTCGTTTCATTTGGCCTGGGAATTTTTTTGTCTTCAAGTGCACGTGGCGAGCATTGTGAGAGTGGGCATTATCTGCTTCCAAAATGAAGGTATCTCCAATTGTGGCAGCATACGGACAAAAAAATAGCATTCAGTATTTCACCTCTATGCCTCTGAGTATTGAAAGCTCCATGCATATCTATGCGCCCACCTGAAGATATTCCTTCCCGTACAAGAACACTAACACTACCTCCTGCATAGATACCCCTTTCCTGATTGCTATACGGAAGATATAGTCTGTCCATAAGTAAATACATCGAGAATAACTCTGTAAAGCTAAGAGAGATTTGTCAGCGAATAGAACAGACCTCCATCGATTTTCATTTCCTTTTCTATGACTACGTGTCCAACTTTAACATTTCCTCTAGTAGTGGCAGGATGAAAACGAACAAACAGTATCGATTTCATAGCATACAGACTTCGTTCATGCAGTCTTCTGCGTACTGTCGTAGCTGATATTTACTGCAGCAGAAACAAGAAGGGAAAAAAAACTTTAAGTTTTCAGATTTTATATTACGCCTCAAGGGAGGTTGTTTTTGACGTTTCGTCTGTTACCTTTATTTATTAAATATCATGTTCTTTGGGCTTCAGGTGCTCAAATGGAGGTAGGAGGGTGTGAAAAGAAGGTCTTCGATGAGCTGGGAGGAGCTACTGGGTCACGGGGTCCAATGGTCTACCTGGAAACACCAAGGACCAAGGAAGGGTTCTATTGCGGGGCTCTTAGGCATGTAGCTGGGTGTTTTCGTGGTTTTCCCCATGTGTAACGTGTATACGATCCAGTTTCCCTTAGAAAGTCCTCCACGAAGGCATCCCTCCCCTTAGGCAGATAGCCCTCGAGGCTTTGCCGTAATTAAATAACCTAACCTAACCTAACCTTAGGCATGTAGCCTTTATCCCCACATCGCCAAAAAGAGGGTTCAGCAAAGAGGTAAATTTAGTGTCAAAATGTTTGCAAAGTCTTGTCGACCAATGCCTGAACGACAAGACTTTGCACTCTCTTTCCAGGTAGACCATTGGACCACGTGACCCAGTAGCTCCTATGCATTTTCCAACATTATTGCTTTCCCATTTATTGCTTCATGACATCTCCAGCTTTTGAAATGAATGGCTCTACGATTTGTATATGCGTAAGGCTTATCACTAGAAATTTCTTTCTCAATCAAGAACTATTCAATGATATGCCAGGAAAGATATGTACTTCCACACGTCGCTACACACATGATGTGGCTTTCCCAGCCTAGAAGCCTGTTGAACGTGCCTCGCACCTGAGCCTTCGACAGCAATGTCACAAAATAATTTTAAAATGAGCATATCTTTAGAATTTCGGATACACAGTTCCGCGTGCTGGAGATAAAATGGTTCCTCCCCCGTAGAGTGTTGCCATTGCTCGCTTTTAAATCGTTGAGTTTGTTAATCTAAAATTCGTTGAAGTGTTACAAAATATGAAATCGATAATAAAACAAATTTCTAATTCCAAATTAGGGCTTCCAGATGCCCATATTCTATGGAAGATTACGTTATTCAAAATTGGATGGCTCTAGGTACCGTTGTTTTATCACAATGCAAGAAATATACATATATTTATGCAGATTCTTCATTATTTCATTTCTTTAAATATAACACAGGGAGATAATATTTGTTGGCAACAATTTGAAAAGTGAACCGACGTTTAAAGTTTTCAATGCAAAATGCCAAAACGAAATTAGTAGCCCTTCTTGGCTGACGTCCTTTGGGATTAAAAAAAAAGCATTTATCTAAGGGATAAAGTTGCAGTCCTGTGTCGACGCGCACTAAGTCGCAAATACCTGTCATTTGCAGAAGTGGTAACTCTTGGCCTAACTTCGATAGGTCTTCGAGAGGCTAAGCCAGTATTTAGAAATTGGTTCAACAGAGGCAGTTCCCACATTTTTTAAACATACAGTTTTGCTTTGGTATAAAAAGAATCGTCTGCTTTGAAATTTTTTTAACTGAAGCTATATTTTTGAAACTATAAATAATTCGTCTGCTACTTCACAGTTTTGTTTTCATACAAAATAGCGCTTTCAAAGAAGCAATAGATGGAATTTAAAGCTACGATAGGTAATATTATCAACAAGAAAGGGAAAAACGTCAAAGTTTGGCTTCAAGTGCAAAAATTGTTCCAAATACATATGCAAGGAGGAAAAAGGAATGATTTAATATTGCAAAAGTAAGATCTTTTATGGTAAAAGAAAATCAGCCAAATCAAAGAACATTTGCAAAATTATTAAAATGCTCAATGTCAACTGTAAACAAAGTGATTAATGATGATTTGAATCCTAAAAAGGCGAAAAAACATAATGTGCATCGTTTTTCTCCACTACATATCGTCAAACGCAGAATGCGTTACAGAATTCTTAATGAGAAACATTTACCCAGATAAAAATGCCAGAAATGTTGTCACGATAGATGAATTTTGAGTGTTTTTACATGGCTGCTATGAAACTAGAACCATGTATTGTCATCAAAGAGGAGAAAAAAATCTTAAAACATAGTTCAAAGAATCTAAAGAAAGTTTTTACCCACAGTACCATCCATCAGTAGAACTCAATCAAGAGAAAGGAAGCTACCCCACGTTAAAATCCACTGTTAATTTCCTGTAAAAATGGAACAAGAAACGGGTATCAAGACTGATATCCCTACTAAATCTCCTGTATATGACCCATGGATTTTTCCGTTTTTGCACTTTTAAGAAGCGGATTGTGCAAACGGCTAACTACAATCCTCCTTAGATTTTGGAAAGCTGTTCAAGAGGAACGGGATAAAATATCTCTTCCGATATTGTGAAAGTCTTTACTGTCTTGTAAATTACGGTGTAGAAAGATAGTGAAAAATGAGGGTTATGAAACAGAATATTTAAAACACAAAAGTTTTGGGTAAATATTTCTGTAAATACAATGAAAATTGGACAAATAGCCGCCTCTGCACAGCCGGCTTACCACTGAACGATCGATAGGTATTTAACCATCTTGCAACGTCAAACTGTCTATGACCTGCTTCTAATGGGCCTTTGGTCGATTAGAAGCAGTTCATAGACAGTAATTCAGTAATTCTGTTCGGAAATGTTGCCTCGAATTTCTTTTTACAATTTGGTTATCTAGAAATTATTTAATATACGGTCATTCATTGAATGGCGACTCCCTCCTAAACAGCTGATTTTAAGCTAAGGTTTTTATGTAAAACGATGGCAGTGCTACTCTTTTGCATAACCCTACTCGATGCAGCTTGCTTTTATTCGTAACATATCCAAATTTCAAGATTTTCAAGCTACATTCAGCCGATTCATTGCAATTTTTCAGTTTATTGCTTTACTTTTGGACACCAGCATGACAGATCTTCATACTTTTAACATACTTTTGGACTAATTTTGTTAAACCGATCAAAAGAATACAATATTTAATTGTAAATTAAAGTTTAAGAAAGTAATAAAGATATTTTAATCGAATTGGTTATCAAACCTGTCATCATTTTACATGACTATAAAGTTACAAATAGGATTCTAATCGCAAAATAAACGGCCGTCATAAGATTATTTTTCATAAAACAAAAAGGAGATTTAAATGGTCTTAACAAGTTTCAGTTCCAAATAGGTAATTAAGGTGACGGCTTTATAAATATTAATATGTTTAGAATTTGCTTATTTATATTTATTGATAAATAAATTATGATTTTTTTAATTTGTTATGTATTTTATTCTTTTTCAGCATGACAGAGCATCCAGCATATCCATTTAAGATTCCTTTCTGAAAGATGTCATTTCTATTATTTTTATTAAAAATGTTCAGTAAAACTTGAGCAATCAGAAGTCTTATTGTCCTTTTTATGAAACTTTCATGAATTCTAAATTCGGCCACGTATGAAGTACCGAGTTAATTCGAATATGTTATTTTCATTACAGCTTAAAGTATTTATTAATGCTGCTTCTGCTAACAAATTATATAAAATATCAATAATGAAAATTCACTGTTGAATTCAATCTTTAGTGAAATACACATAGGCTGGAATTTTAATAGTTGCAAAAAAGCTGTGTTTAAGCTATGAAATGGTATAAAGTATTTTGTGCTAGGTAATTAAGTATTATGATTTAAGGCCTGTATTATAATTTCTTCTTTCCCTAGTCCTCACCAGAATGCAAATTAGTTGGTAGAGTATTTAAGCAGAGGGTTTTTAATGTTTTAGAATTAGAGCTTTTGGCAGCGTCGCCTGCAGATTTCGTCCTATCGCCTAGCTCTGCCAGCGATTATTCCGGCGTTAGCCATTTTCGCTAGCCGATATTAAAACGTATCGTTAAAATATTTAAGCCAGGGTAAGTAAACAATTTTCAGTAGTCTCTGACTGCTTTACCATGAATCGGAATTTCAAATTATGTTATTTTATAAATACCCATAAGTTACGGAAGTTATCTGTAAGCACAAATGGTACGTTATATTTAATTTCAAGAGTTTAATAAACAATTATTTACAAATTTCTTATGACTTTGCCACACTACAGTTAAACAAAGCAATAATTTGCTTGTCAATCTATTAGTTTGTAAAGAACATTGATTTAAATTTCTATACAACTAAAACCCTGCAGCGGAAGAAACGCTTCTAGTTTTTGACAAAAATATCTTTGTTCCTGAAGAAGGGTCTGTGTCTGATCGTCTAAAAAGTTTTTGTTCAAAATCCTGTGTCAAGCTAAAATTTTCTTTTTGCCTAATTTTAAATAACAGTCGCTTGCGCGGCCAACCATCTAATATAGTTGTCATAATTTTTATATGATAATGTTTTTTTATTCGAAACAATTTTAAGAAGATTACAATCATTTTAGAAAAATAACATATAATGCTTTTAAGAAAATTAGTCCTGCTAATATATAAATATTCATAAAAATATTTGTTATTTCTAATTAAACATCTTATGATTTAAATCAATCAGATTAAAAGCTAAAAACAATATATATATATATATTCTTAAGAGCTACGTTTATTGCTTTTAAATCGATTAGTTTGTTACTCAATAACAGACAGATTAACTACGAAAATTAAAACGTTATGCTTTACTAAATGGCAACATTTTGGCGCGATGGAGATAAAAAATGTTTTATTTCGAAAAGTGTTGCCACTGCGCGCTTTTAAATTGCAAAGTTTGTTAAGCAAAAATTAATTAAATTTATATAAGATGTAAAGTAAATTAAAAACAAATTCGAAGTTTAAAATTTAGTCTTCGAGGTGCAAAGTTTGGTGTGGAGGACTACATGATTCAAAATTTGGTGGCATTAAATGTCGTTCTTTTCCTACAATGCGAGGAACATACATACATGCATATAAATTCTTCATTATTTAATAATAGAGATAGATATTTGTGCTCTATAAAGCTTCACAGTTATTCTACTGTGTTCTTTTGTTATTTTTCTGTTTCTTCACAGTTATTCACAATTTTTATGGGGTTTCCATTCCCTCTATTTCTTCTATGAATTTTTAAGGAAATAGTTTATATACTTGATCAGCACTTTTTAGGATTTTATAATGTTACGGTTTCCTAGAGGTTTCTCAAAACGAAAATAGACCATCTGAATAAGAAAATTATAGATCATCATTCCGATTATAATGAAACAGCGGCATCGTTAATCTTTACAAGCCAAGTTGAAGCATAATATTAACAGTTCTGCTCGCCAACCGTTGGAATTACAGCTACTTCTATTGTTGTTTCGACTCACACTAGGCAATTTTGCACTTCTCATCTCAAACTCCGCTACTCGGATCATTATAGTGGTTACGGCTGTTAGGCTGGTTAGGGCCAAATTCATCGGTTTAATCGCTCGGCCACTGGTGGGATCATGCGCAAGGAAGCACTAGTTACAGTGAAAGTCATTTAACACGAAGCTGAGAGGACTGAAGTATTTTTTCGTGTTAAAATAATTTCGTGTTAAAGGATATTTATTGGGGGGAAACATATATTCAACAAAATTAAGTTTATTAGAGTACATTTGTTTACATAGATATGTAATATGCATGTATTTAATAAAAAATCAATGAAACAAAAACATCCACAAGAACTTATGAAAGTTAATACAAAATTTTCAAGTTTTTTGAAAAGCAAAACGTTTATTGAGTTTTTGGAAAATAATCTGATATTTTTCTTTGACTTGTCCTTTTTAGCATCAAATTGTTCAATATCGTCCATTTTGTTATTCATTTCACCATTGGAATGTGCTTCTAAATAACTGCGCAAGCTTTTCATGATATTCCTCATTTCAGATGACGTGGGAACAGGAGCTGCATTATTCATTTCATTTTCGTTGTCGGAATCTGCATCAATGATATCTTTTTAGCTTTGAACAAATTCCAATATGTTATTGTCTGCCATAATTGGTGCTGTACACACATTATCATCCACTGCTGCGACGAATTCTTCTGATAATACAGTAAAACAGTCCAATAACGCAGAAACTTTCTTAGACATTTCATTAAGCGTCGGCTGAGCTTGAATATCCTCCTTCTCCATTTCTCTTGGCACCAAGGAATCTGATACTTTTGAAAATCGTGCATGAAGAAAACAATTTTCATTCGTCTTCTGAGTCACTGAATTCCGTTCAGTGCAACAGATGAAGAGACAGAGACATGCAGAGTGCAACATATGAACCAAACTCACAGATCTTTACTCACACTGTGATGTACTCGTCATCGAATTCCAAAACCAACTAATGAGAGAAGAGATGTTTATGTGGCGATTGTAGGGGTAGAAGGTGAAAGTAGCTGAGATAAACAAAACTGGCTTGTATCGCAGGCTATTCCGAGGCTATTTTAAAGCCAAGTTAGCCTTCTTTCTACGAAACATGTGAAACCATCTCTCTTTCATTTCACACTCCTCGCCTGCGAGGACGGTGTTTTACGTATTTTGTTCATTCCCAGAGAGGATATCTTTTCGTGTTAAGTGATATTTGTTTCGTTTTAAGAGAAACAAAATGCATGAAAATATATAGTGGTTTGTCGGAACCGTTGTATTATTTCGTGTTAACCGATATTTCGTCTTAAGCATTTTCGCGTTAAACGTATTTCACTTTAGTTTGCTTTCTCCCTCCTTAAACCCGGTTCACAGCAACGCGATCACGCGTTCGGGCAAAAAGCATTGACTAATCAGGAGCGAGCTCAGAGGTGGTATTATTTTCCGGACGACGGGTTTCACTGGAGAATGATGTACACACCCGGGTACCTGGGCCGCAGGCCCTACCCCTGTCGAACAAGAATTTGGTATTTTCTAATTATGGGTGCATTAACAATTTAATATTTTTAGCCATAGTTGAATGAGTTGCTTATAAGCATAATTAATATAGAATTGATAGCTAAAAGAAGTAAGTGTGGTGAAACCCTACGGAGAGAACTCTGAAAATGCACTGGTCGAGAGAAGAACGAGCTGGTGACTGACAACCTAAAAGATAAACAATAGCATCGAAACAAACATAGCAAGGAAAAGGGCAAGTGGGAATGCTTCGGTGAGAGGTTATCCAAAAGTAAAAGGCATGCAAAATCTAACACGTGAGATGGTAACCATACACTAATAATAATGCATTAGGATACGAGAACACTGGTGTTGAGGACAAATAGTCTATCGGGATGCATTCGTAGGAACAATTTGAGAGACAGCATTACTGAACAGATAAGGTAACCAAATTATATTGCTATGTAGCTGAGGTAAGCAAAATCAAAATATAAACAATAACAGTTATAGTATAATATTGTCATTCAGAATTGCCATTGGGCGTTTTATGTTTGCTGGATCGTTAACATTGTAATTACAGATTTTTATCACAGAGTTTTGAATATTTCTTTGACTTTCGAAGATGTTGCGTGCAAATTTACAGTAGACAGTCCTAAGTTGATCAGTTCTAAGTTCAGTGTGAATACGATTGTTTGCAAATGTACAAGGGTGAATTGATAATTTGTCTTAAAATACAGCTTTGTGTAGTTTGAAGTTTTCTGCGAACAGTTTTACAGGAGTATGCCCAAAGTGGGCAGGCATAGCAAAGCATGGAATGCAATACGAATTCGTAAATGAGTAACTTGTTGTCATTAGATAAAACGCTGTTTCGAGCAATTAAGGGGAAAAGTTTTGCTTTACGATCTCGACTGGACAACTGGAGACCACCCGAGTTGACTTAACTTCAACTTATCGCCGCTTCACGTGTCAGTTTCAGGCATCTCGTTTCAGATGTCCGGTTTATACCCCGATTTTTAAATGACTGCACTTTCAAAAATTCTTGAGGAGAAAAAAAAAAAGTCAAATGGACTAATCTTAATAAAAATTTCAGATAATAATAAAAAATGCATATGCTAATAGAATAGTTTTATAAATTATTTAATCTAAAATTCTCAAATTTATTAGCAGTAAAAGACCTTAATAATAATCAACCATAAATGATATATGGTTGGCAATTTTTTCAGAATAATCTAAAGTAATAGAATGTTACGAGAAAATAGTGATGGATTTCGAAATCCCAGATTTCAATATTTCTTAAAATTTATCTGCTTCAATTTTAGGTTGCTCTTGTTGCCTAATGGATGAAACGTTGGCTTCTGAAGTTAAAGATTTTGAATTCAAGCGTCACTATGGACGGTGTTGTAATGAAGTTGGTATTTAAAAAAAATATATTTACAGAAAAAATTATTTTCAGAGTAGCCCAGATGCTTCTTCAGTTTCCTGAAGGGAAAATGTG